AGGAATGAGATGCTGTCATTACTTTCTTTCTCTATGGTAAAGTTTATTGCTGAATGTGCATCATTAAACTTGTCAAGGATGTTCATTGCATCATTCTCGTCTTTCATAACCAGAAATGTATCATCCGTATATCGACAGTAGAAATCCATGTCATTAATTACTCCTTTCAGTAGTCCATTGTCTAACTTAGCGAGGAAAAAGTCAGCTAGGAATGGACCTAATGGGAAGCCCATAGCTACACCATCATTTTGTCTGTAATATTCCTTATTGAATAAGAAATGAACTTTCATTGTACATCTTAAAATAAGTTCCTTCACGGTGGATACAGAAATGCCGATGTCTATGTTTCGTGTAGTAATCTCCTGTCTCCATTAACGGTACATTGGTGAACAAGGAGGATACATCAAAAGATATCATAAACTTGTCCCTCACATTAAGATCTCTTATTTTTCCAGCAAATTCAAAACTACCGTTCAGGAGTCATAAACACCATCTACCTAGTTTATTTAACTTGTACAATTTTAGTAGGAGTACTGAAAGTCTGTCTAAAAACAACTTGTGATATTTAGCCCTTTAAACTAAGATTATGTTTATTGCTGAACCGGTCAACGCCTGGATGCTAGGCCGTTGGGTAAGACTTTTATTTGACACTGGTTAGTAACTAGCATCATGCGTCTAGTCCTTGGTGTTGTTGAAGACTGAATTCTATCAGTCGAGTTCGCGATATTGCCACTATGCTAAGTGGCTCGCCGACGTAACTCACTCTGAATTGATGTTGTTAGATGGTTAGAAACAATCGGCAGGAAGCCCTGCTTGACCTAGCTTTCGCGCTTGCTGGCACCCACTCTGCAATCTTGGAGTGAAAACGGCAATCCAGAAAAGTTTATTGATAAGAACATGAACCTAAAACCAAAGTAGCCCAAGGTACCAAGAATTCCTAAAAAGGCATAACTCTTACAAATCCAGTTCCTGGGGGAGACAACATCAGCGAGATACTAACACAACGCCTTAGCACTCCCTGCTGCTGAATTACTCTGTGTCTTCAAAATCAACCCTATTTCGCGTTCGGGAGTTAAAGATAAACTGCCTAATTTCGCTTCTTCCATGTGTATCTACCAACCTAACTGCTCCTGTGGAGCCAGTTGCATATGCCGCACAATTAGGCGTGTTTCTCGTCGGATTTCCGAACATCACCCAGCATAGTGGTTGGTTAAGTGAAAGATAAACAGAATCCGTTCATATCGCTATTCTATCTCATCTTGTGGATACAGAACACAAGATTGATGTAAACGAGGCAGCTTTCAAAGTCATTCACCGCATACCAACAAATCTTAACTTCACCTTAAGAGTTCGTCTACTACATATTGCTGACTCTGGCTGTTGGAATCTACATTAAGAAGTCCAATTTATGTGTCCGAAAGAAACCAGTTCAGACATTGCCCTTACTTTGACCATGAAGGTTCTAATGATCCTTAATTTGTTGTGGAAATTTCCTTGATTTTATTTGGTATTCTATTTGCTATTATATTTGTATGCTTATTATAATTTAAGCATCTTTAATGAACTGTAATTCCGTTGTGATCTTACTTAACAAATCGATATTATTTAAAATTATTATTATTATTATTTCCTTTAGTTCCTAGAGGAACATAGGGCTTCAGTCATGCGTCTCCATTGCGTTCGATTCTCTGCTAGAGTTTTCACCTGGCTCCAGGTCTGCCCACATGCTTTCATCTCCTCTTCACATGATCTCCTCCAGGTCACCCTTGGACGACCAACTCGCCGCTTCCCTTTCGGGTTCCACTAGAGGGCTTGTCTAGTGATGTCACTTGCTGGTTTCCTCAGAGTGTGGCCAATCCATCTCCATTTTTTCCTGCCTATTTGTTTCACAATGGGTTCCTGGTTGGTTCGCTCCCAGAGATCTTTGTTGCTGATCCTTTCCGGCCATCTGATCTTGAGTATTGAGCGAAGACATCTGTTAATGAAGGTCGGGGGTTGATGTTCACTGGTAATTCTGCTTCCGTTGTTGGTATTGTTGGGCGCGTTGTAGGTGGCGGTCGGTTTAGTAGTCTTTTGAAGTGTTCAGCCCAGTGTTTCCTTTGCTCCACTTCTTTGGTGATTGACTTTCCATTTTCATCCTTCACTGGCTTAATTTGTGACGAATGTTTGCCTGAAAGGTACCTAGTTGTTTGGTGAAGTGTTGCGAGGTCTCCTTTGCCTGCAGCTTGTTCTGCTTCATTGGCCATGGCTTCATAATACTTTCTTTTGTCTTCTCTTGCACTCTTCTTTACTCCTTTGTTCAGTGTATTGTAGCTTACATTCAACTCCTGTTTCTGTTGCTCGTCGGTGCACTGCAGAATTTTTTGTTTCACCATCCTTCTCTCCTCTATTAGCCTCCAAGTGTCCGTAGTGAGCCACGGTTTGTCCTGTCTCTTCTTTCTGCCCAGAACTTCCATGCAGGTTTCGCTCCATACTGTTTTCAGGTTGTTCCAGTGTTTTTCGACGCACACCAATATTGTTGTTGACTACTGTTCTTAAATATTCTATGTATATAAACAAATATATATAGTTGTAGAGCCAGAAGAGGGAATTATCGAAAAGGATATTCTTTGCTCAATTATTTTGTGTTTTATAGATGTCTGAGTGAATATTTGCATTAGATTGAAATCTTCGTAGAACAAATTTGCCTTTTCACACTCAGTACCACTGAGCTATTCAGGCTCGAGAGCTACAATACAAACACGACTGACTGAACTAATTCTGTACCAAAAAAAGGACTAGACGCATTACACTAGTCACTAAGTAGTGTCCATTCAGAGTATCTAATACAATCCTACACGGGAGGTAAATCGTGAGCTCGGGAGTGACATGGGTTCGAATCTCATAAGGGACATAAGCTTCTTCAAGATTGTAGATACGACTTTCTCACTGGTGAATGCCAAGGATCACGAAACATGAATCAGGTGGGGCTTCCTGCCGATTGACTCCAATCATCGAATGTCAACAGTTCGTAAGCAGAGACAATAAAATAACAGAAACCTTCGATTAACTCAGATCTTGGGGGACGTATCTGGTTTTTCAGGGTTACATTTAAATAAAATTATAACAAAAAGAGTAAGCCCAACTTTTTCTAAAGTTATGATGTTTATTGAACTGAATGATTTCACTGCGTAGATTTTATTGTCCTTCTTGACGACGTATTCAGCGCTGCCTTCAGCAAGAATATAAAAATACTGAAGACAACCTGCTCAAAGACAATTGCTTATTCAATTAATTCCCTTTCAATATCAAAAACCAATTTTTTTTATTCCTTCACGTTCCCAGTGGAACATAGGAAGAGCTTCAAGCTAGAGGCTTGAAGATTCTGTAGCAGTGTTTATTTTTACAGGATGTGGTTGCTAGCCTCATGCCCAACCTTCCCTCTTTACCAGCATTATTTCTGGCTTAGCGAGGTAAAGGAGTGCGTCTGTGGCCGGGGATCGAACCCCGGACCATGTGCATGGTCGGCGAGCGTCCTAACCGCTATGCCACCACCAATAAACCCCAAAAACTACATCACATTGCCATAGTTTCAAGAATAAAATGACACACACAACATAAGACAATAAATAATACGTGCAGTGCTGTGAGCGTCACCTTCTGGCTATTATTAGTAGTCAACAGTTTTGTTTTGTCTACCAGAATCTTATATGTGGTAAATGTAAACAAAATAGCAAAACAAAGCAAAACAGTACTGTCGTTTTCATGAGATGTTAAAACTGGTCATCTCATGTGTCTGGCTCCAAAGACTACTCTCTCCAGTGGTTTCGTCTTTGCAATCAGTGAAGTAAATATTTTAATTTTCTTAACACAGGGGTATTTCTATGTTGTTCAGAGAAAAAAAACAACCCAGGGAACAACAAAAGTCATACGATTTCTATTTATAGAAAACATTCATGGTGTTCAATGGAAAAAATAATAATAATGATGACAATAATAAAAATAAAAATAAAAATGAA